CGCAAAGTGGGTTCGTCGTGGTGTCAGCATGCTCCGTGTGATGGAAATTCACAAAATTCTGAATTGTGAACCTTGTACTATGGTGGAAGCAGCGTGGCGCAGTGGAAGCGTGCTGGGCCCATAACCCAGAGGTCGGTGGATCTTTTTCTTTGAGTAACATTTTGACTACCACTCCATGTTGTTCACCTGCAATCATTAGCTCTAGTGTTTCAAAAGCAGTTTGTGCAATCTTTTTGCAGCTCGATTTTCACAGCACTGGAGGGATCATTCGCGCATGGGTTTCGTTCTGCTAGAGAGCGAAACCCAGAAATTTATACACGCATTTGTGAGGGTATTGCCGGTCATTTTTCTGAATATTGTATGCGATAATGTAGTAGAAATCAAACTTTTTCACCAATTACGATAGGTCAACGTTGGAGCACAATATAGTCACCAGGAGTACGAAGGTTGGGTGATCTCTGATTTTCTGATTTAATTATCTAAACGCAGCTGTCTATGTTGGCATCTGTAAGCACTGTTAAGCGTGGTGGTGATAAAAAAAATCGACACCCATAAGATCCCCCCCCCCCTCGCAGACTCAAAAAATACGACCTCCCCCTTCCCACGATGGGAAACGAGAACGAAAATGCAGACACTAGAGGAACACGAATGACACGAGTGTTTGGACTTCAAATCCAAACGTTATAGCAGCATAGCCTCCACGTACACCGTCAAGGTTTCGATCCTTCCACTATCCAGAATTTTGCAAAAAAAATTAATACCGTGAATATCGCTCTGAAAGCGTGAGTTCAGACTTACTCAAACAATTTGCTTCAAAGTTGTCAGGAAAAATATCGATATACGTCATCTTCACAGTCAAGGGTTCGATCCCCTCCGATTGTAAAATTTTTGCACGACGTAAAATAACGTGCGCTCGTAGTGTCTCAAGACCCTCGAAAGTAGTACACGAAATGACTCTATATAGAGCTACAGGACTAAGTAGGACTAGCAGTGCAAACGTGCAATAATGTGCACCCAAAATTTTGGTTCGCTCAGAGGTATGTTTGCAGATGGACATGAATAGGAGGAGATCCGGACAGTTGAGATGCCGATTTCTCCTCAGTGCCAGATAGTCGAAGGTTTGCGCTTCCGCGCTATATGGCTCCCTTTCCCGCAGTTGCCTCCGTCGTTATTCAAATCCACAAATCGATAAAAACGTGTATAAAATGGCATTTTTATCGACGAAACTTCATCTCGGTTATTCCCGTGCTGAATCTTTTCTCTTGATCCTGGAGGACTGAAACTCGAGTCCACAGAATGGCTCTTTGATGGCTCACAGGACTGGATGGGACTGGTACGGGACTGCAAATATTTTCGCCTGAAATTTTGGCTCGCTCTGACGCATGGTTGTAGTCGGTCTTGAATAACAGAGAGCCTGTCAAGGTGCCAATTTTTTCTCAGCTTTAATTAGGTACTCTCAAGCAATATGGTTCCCTTTTCCGCAGTTTTCATCCTTGCTGCTTCGATCTAGTTGATAAAAACAAGTAAAAAGGCGACTTTTATAAACATCACTTTCGTGATTTCTGTGCTGAATCTCTTCTAGTGGTGCTGGAGAGCTGAAACTTGGTGCCAAAGCAGACCTGGGAAGGGTCCATAGTAAGACTTTTTTTGGCTTCCAGGGATGAGCAGGACTGGCAGCATATATGCACAAAAATAACCGTCCAAAATTCATTATCGCTCTGAGGCATGACTGTGGTACGTACTACTAAAAACAGTACCCGAATTATCCACGACAACCATAATCCCTCCTCTACGCCCCGTTCCCCTTTATCCACCCACCATAAGATCCTCGTTGATGATTTATCAACGCACCTTTGACTCTGTGCTATTTAGCCGGAATTTTAGGGTGTGATGAGGGTCACAGTACTCCTTCTTCTCGTTGCATAATATTGACGCGAACTGCTTTCTAACAGAACTATCGCATTCCAAGCCCAAAATTACCACTTTCCTCAACTTTATGGTTCCTCGTTTGTATCGTAATCAGTCGTGTTCTGCAGTTCTTCTGTTTATGTAAAAAAGTAATACTACCAAAAAGCCCAAAAAATGAGAAAAAAGTTTTTGATAATCTTGAACAAAAGACAACCGTTCCGACCGAACATATTTCTATGATGTCCACCACTAACAACTACATATTCTGAAGTTGAAATAGGAAGTGTAATGCTGTCAATATCCTTCGTACAGAATAAAAAAAGATTTTTTTGGTAAATTTGACCACTCGCTTAGGTGTTCGCATTTGAGCAGCAATGGGGAGTACAGCAATGATTCTGACGGAAGGAACAGCCAATTATGTGCCTAGTTTGTACCAACTCTTCTTTTTTTCTCAGAAGGTTGTAGTGAAGATATTGGACGGAATCAAGGGAAGAATTTGATAACGAATTCGACTATTAGGAATATTAAAGTCAATAGAATTGAGTCTCTGCCCAGATAAGCTGTTGTTAAGAAGCTCCCATAGAGCTTCGATGCATATCCAAATTTCATCTGGATAGCTCAATCCAAAGGTGAGTTATACCGAGAAACCCTCTTGTCGTAATGGCGCTGATCATATCTTTTTGACCGCGACTGTATGTTCCAACTATTTTGTGTTACCTCACATTATGAGTGCATGAAATGTGGGAATTCTTTTTTTTTCTTTTTTAGATGAGGAAGCTATAAGAAACTTTCTAAATGTTTTTCAACGCTTAAAATCCCAAGCTACAAGTGAGAATATAATATGTAGCAGCGTAATTTTTCAAGATAGAAGTGAAAAAAACATTGATTGAGAAAATGCGAAAATGTTTCATGCACCTCGGAACAAACCATGGCCATCCGCCTATAGAATGAGACACTTACCACTGCGCCAGTGCTTACCTGAATCAGACGGCTTTAAAACTTTGACAAGTGCCACGCTCAAGAGTCCTGCGGAAAAAAAACCGCTGACACTAACTCTTCACAGAGGGCACCGCAGCAGATATGGACAACAGACTCGTGATCAGCATCAGAAACTGCATGTGACATTGCACATCTGGTTTTTTGCTCGCTTTTTCAGTGTTTGGTATTCCCGAGAATCGCAACACCATTTCCTTGTTATGCTGAAGCCATTGTTTTCAAAACACTTCCCCGAGAAGAGCGACATTTATACCTTTATGGTTTGCGATTACTTCCAGGTGTTCCGAAGATCAGGAAAATCAATAAAGGATGCGAGAATATTCGTTCATTCACACGGGTTCGCGTTCCGAAACTTCAACTGAGACCGACCCTACCATATCCAGGTGCTGCAGTGGACGATGTGGATCACTGCAACGAGGTTCACACGGGCGGAAATGAAACCTCCGGCCGCCATAGAGTGGTCGATCGGCCGGCCATTTCTCCACGGAGACGAACTCCTCGGTTATGATGCTGATTCCTTCTCACATAAGCGGAGTAGAGTGCATGGTCATTGTGGTTGCGACCGCAAAAGGTAGATTTAGGTCATGCGGACGCGTCCTCCATAGGCCATTCGCGCGACTGTCTCACAGCACGGCCAGCCCCCTTCACTCGCGCCCCCCGCACATGCCCACCGCAATCATTGCACACGTTTTTTCGCTTTTCTCTCAACTGGCGCCATTCGTGGAAAGTCCTCTAAGCGACCACACGTCCCCCGTCGTGATATCGTCCGTCGTTTTCTCGTCCTTCCACTTTCGATTCGATGCTTGCTGTAGCGAGTCCGCGGCCCATCTATGCACGGTTTCGAGGATTTGTCCTTACTCACCCCTTCTCCACCCAGAGATGAGGATTTCATGGATTCCACAACATTCTGCTCCCCTTCCCTCCTCAAAACGAACAAAAACTGCTTGGCAGCGCGCAATTTCGAGCTCAGGGCCGCCGAAGCTCGCCGAGAAACGAGCGAGTTTTCGTCGAATCTGCGCCTCGGTTCGACGAACAAATGGTCTTCGGGATTACCGAAAAAGTGTAGGACGCAGCATTTTTACGCAATTTCTCCCATCTTGGACGCCGTTTCGTTTTAATGTGATTATGGTTTTTCAAATCTCCTCTCGCCGATGAAATCGATTACTTGAGTACTAGTATCTCTAGCGCGCACAGTAAAATTTGGTTTTTACTGGCTTTTCGCATTGATCGGAGGATCGGCTGGAATTGCTACTCAAAACTCACCTCAGTGACAGTGGTTACTGCCCCCAGTGCTTGCGAAGCTTGTGGCATGGAGATGACAAGCAAGGAAATGGCTAAATATGGTTTTTGGATGAGATTTTCAGTCCAGTGAAGCTATTTAATTGCAGTGCTCTGGATAGTGACTTCACAATTGAGAAGGCTTCAGTATTGGGTGAAAGCTATTCAGGCAAAATTGACCTAAACGGTTAGGTTAGAGATACAAAAAACAAAATAGAAAATTACCTGTGAGTGGCCTGATTATACCAAGGTTCAAGGAAAACTGAACTTTCGCTCTGGATATTTACATTTTCTTTCAAGACAAAGTGTAGTTACCTTGAAATTTCTTATTATGAATGAATCCTTGTTTATTAGCATAAGAGAAACTTGAAGGGTTGTCTCATTTCAGAATCAATTTTCAAATTTTTGTATTAGAAAAGTCCTAGGGCAACGATGACCGCAACCGTATGCGCACTTTTGCACAAAAGTGTTCAGAAAACCATTTTAAACTCCTTCTGTAGAGAATTTGAAGTACCCGTTCAGACAACTGCCACAAAGCTGTGCAGCCTATGATACTCATCACTGGCGCGAAGCGCTTTTTCATAGTAGCTGTCGCAGTGAAAGGCTTAAATTCTCCGCCAAAGAATTGATTAATAAGGGGTCTTCATTGTTTATGTGAGGAATTTCTTTTGGAATTAAAATCCCCGAAAACATTTCTGAGGGGAGACATTGCCTTTAAGAATTTCCAATGACATAGGTACACTAGCTATATTCGTATAAAAGTATGAGCGTTCTCTCTCACTCATTCTAAGCCGAACGGTGTTCCTAGTGGGTTGTCTCATGCACAAAAACGGGGCGTGGCCACAACTCCGCGATTGGTTCATTCGAACTGATTTGTCGCCTTTTTATATTAACTCAACCAAAGTCACTTTCCACCCGATTTTCTTCTCGAATTTGAACGTATAGAGAGTGGAGGAATGATAGAGGAAGGCTGTTTGAA